TAAGCACGTTTACCTTTGAAGGTAAAATTTCGAGTTCGGGGTCATGAGGTGACACAATATCTACCAGGGAGCACAGCAAGTGGACAGAAAATAAGATAAAAACATTCAGCTAACGACATTTTTCATTTACCCAGCGGAAAACAAACTAACGTTGAGTCATTTACGTGTTGATATGCAGAGCTCCGCTCATACGTAAGCAATGATCACTGTCTAAAAAAAATAAGGGTAATAATAATAATGCACATCAAATGCTCGGTGGGATGCGTAACCGTCTGCTGCTGAAGTTGTTTATTACTGAGCAGTTCATCTTTGCTTCAATCTTATACAGGTTGTAACCGAAGCGGCTTTTTTGAATGAGAGCTATTGCAGTAATCCAATGAGAGCGAGTTTGGTAAATGGCAACCTTCGCCATTATGCGCTTACAAGTGTTTAACAGCTTGAAATGTTTATAAGCAAGACATTAAAAGTCATACCCTTTCCTAGCTTGGTCGGATGCATGTCGTCACAACGCTATTGATCAGTAAAACACTCTTGCTATTATTATATCATTATAACATTATTACCGAGTAAGCATGCTATGCGAGAGAACGCGCGCATATCCCCGAATTAAAACTGGCTTTAAAAGAACAGTTTCGATAAGGAACTCGATCACGGCCAATGAGATTGCGAAAGAGCATTAAGATCCCTCGACCGAGAGGACATCTCCCTTTCGCTTTTTCCTTCATCAAAAACCCAGTTGAGACTGGAGTCGGTCCGTGTACCTGCGTTCGCAATTTTGTCTCGGCTCAGCTTTAGGTAGTGCACATACCTCTAGAGCGGTACCCGACTTGTGCTAGAACAGCTTCCTCTTTACTCCTTCGTTTTTTTCTTCTTTGCGTCCGCTACGTTGCTTTCCCCTATTCTTGCTGCGGGGACTGCTGTTGCTGCTCTTGTCACTGCTACGAGGTGTCGCCTTCGCTGTCGTTGACGTCGTTGCGGATATTGCTATTGGCGATTGGAAAGTCAGCGTACTAAAATGGCGGAGGCATAGGAATGACGATTCATGGGTCTCCACGAAAGGCCTTCGCCGGCGATGTTCTTCGATCGGTGGGCGCGACGACGGTAGAAGCTATGACAGTGTCGAAGCGCTACGTATAAAGCGCTAAAAAACAGGACTGTTTATATGGTCCATTCCAACATTCGGATCACGTCCAAAGACTCCTTTAGCAGCTGTCCTTACCGCTAGAGCCATTGTACCAGCAAACCTAGAGAAGTTCAAGTAGACTAGTGCTGTGATAGGACCAAGCGAGTTTGGTAAACGGGCTGGCATACGCGTTCTTGCTGCTTGCTTTAGCTCTGTTTCTGCTTAAAGTGTGCTTTTTACTCGTAAGCTTTTCCGTAAGTTCACAGTGTTCTATTAGCTGAGCTAAAGATTCACAAAAAAAAAGGCGATAAAAACGCTACATTTAACATCATGTATGATAGACTGCTATAAAAGGAATAAGAAAAAAAAAAGCAGTAATTGAGTGTAGAAATACAGCTGGCACACTACTGATTTTCGAAAAACCCAAGCGTTCTAGAACTTGAAACTGATTTCACAACTTTCATTTCTGGAGCATTTCTAGGAGTTAATAATTCAAAAGCTCCTAGAATAGGTAAGCGTACTGCTTTTAGTACTTGAAATATCGTGATACTTTACGAACAAATTTAAGCGTCGGCTCTCTTCACTAATCTACATATTGTTAAAAACCGATATGTACCACCCTACAGCGCTCACATCGGAAAACAGGTTTACTGTTATAAAACTACAAAAAGACTAAAACTGTGTACTAGCAAGTTCACAACTAACATACGCTCCACATTCGTCAGAAATCTCTAAATATACACCGATGGGCGCTGAGCAGGGTCCTGGAATGAACCTGGACAATGAATAATTTTCTATCTGACACAGGCCGTTAAACTTAACTCAGGCGGGTCATGTTCAAAGACCTTGGTTATGACTTCTACACACGCATTTTAGGAACATGCACAGGTTCGCGCATGAGTTTTTCTGAGGGGTTTTCGCACTGGGGCAGCGTCCTGGTTAATCGCTACTTTCTGCATTTTGTCTAATATATATATATATATTAACAGTGTATAAGTAATGTTAGCTGATACAGTGTACCAGTAAGAGAAAACAACCTTAATGTCCCTTATATTAGGAAACAAAGGCTCACTGTTTACAATGGTACGAAGCCCAATTTTGCTCCTGAACTCCCGAAGCGCCACCTGATTAGGGACTCGGTCTTCAAACTGAAACACGGAGATGCATTTCACTGCGCTGAGTCACGTCAGTTCGAGAACCAAACACTCAACATCGTCTCCGTCGTCGTCGCCAAATGACGGCCAATATTCGCAATTGCGCCTCGAGGATGATTTTCACTCCCTCCAAAATCTTCAACTAGATATGTTTAATTTTGCATTATGTGTTTCCCCGTTTTTTACTCACATCCAGATGCCCTGCCTTTTATCCAGACAGTACGAATAGTTCCGCTTCTAGTAACATCAAGATTCGTGGGACGAGTGCGTTTTTCCCGTGCTAGTATTGGCTATCTTTGTCGCTAGCTTAACCTGCACACTACACACACTCTGAATATGTGTAACTTGCACTCTGTCTTCTACTTTTTAAATGGCCGGTAACCTTCGGGCTCTACTGAACTGGACAGACGAAAATAATTTTCGGTGGCACGAGAAATAGTGACGTTTTCGAGACCGTCCATTACAATCTTGTCAGCCGTCCGTAGTCAAACGATAGCCTGTAATAGTGGCACTTCCGAGTCATGATGTGGACTTAAACTTTCGCTGGCAGGCGCCTGTTGCCATCGACTGCGTTACCGGCGTCTGCGTTCGCCCTCTTCTGTTGTCCTAGAAATTGTACAGTCGAGCAAACAAAATAGGCACCGTTACGCTGTGATATTATTATTATCATCAATCTGCTCATTCATCATAATGATCTCGTCATCAACATCGTTTTGTTATTATTAGAACTATAACGGTAGCTAGGCCAATGGGCAAAGCGCACGCTTTGCTTTTTAGTACCATGGAACTACTAGGATAGCTAGCCTAAATGAGGGGGACAAAGTCTTCTCTATATACATCTGCTGCCCTTTCTTCCTTTGCTCGTTGAATAGAAACGGTGGCAACGGTAATGCTGTTGTGCACCTCACGACCTTGACGTTCTTCGCCAACTAGCTTTTGCTATTCACCGGAGACCCTATTTGTCTCATTGTGTCTTATCATTACACCCTTGTAAATGCTTATGTCCAGAAGGTAATTTATTGCTAGCTTGCGACTGAGTCCGTTAGGGTTCTTTTTCGAACGAGTCTCAGCGAAGTAATTCGGCTGAGCTGCACAGGTCGTTCTGAAACCTAAATGCCTATAGCAGTGGGTTTCTGCAATCGGCAGCAAAAGTTCGTAGACGTGTAGCGGCATCTGCTTAATCTCTATTGCTGACAAAAATGTTGTACTTACTCTATGCGTTAGTGTGACACAGCATGGCTCGTAACCTGGGTCGTCTCTGTACTGAACCTTGTGGGCTGACGCCAATACCAACATTTCTATAAATTTGCTGGACCTATTATTTTTAAAATGAAATTCAGTAAACGGTTTCTGTTATCATGAGCACTACAAATATTTCCTAGGCACAAGACCCTGTCTTATAAGCTATATCGGATCACTTGAATATTCGGTTAGGTTGCATGACCCTTTTCAATATACCGCTACTAATATCTTTAGAATTATTTAGGCTCGTGAGTAAAAGGCGGAAGAAGTTTTTGTGCATGAAATATAATGGTCTAACCTGCAAGACTCTGAGCAATGTGCTCATAGCCGGTGCGGGAGACAATCACAAGCAACTCTAACAAGTCACCGATTGACAAATGTCGGTCGATCGTGACTGATCTGAAAAATACGACTACTAGTATTCCGCCGATGCTGTTTAGGAAATATCGAATGATGGCCGCCATATGCATTCAGGTCGTGCTCATAGTAGTACTAACCTAACGATAAACGTCGCCATGTCAAACAGTGGCCTGTTTTTACCAATTTGATACGCTGACGGCTGAATGTTAATATTTTTTTAATATCTGCGGTAAAAGTATAAGCTATGCATTTTATATTTAACTAATTATTAAATGAATTTGTTAAGAAATCTTATATTATTTCAGCAAATATAATTCGTTATAGCGTAGACTATGCTAAACAGCAGGCGTTGTGCAAAATATCTACTAGTTATTAGTTAGAAGACTAGTTCTGAGTGTTCGAGGAAAGTTTACCTACAGAATCGTATAGGTATGACAAATTAAACTTCACGGATTAGATACGCAGTGCGCGTCTGTACAAGAGTTGGACGTTCTTAAAAGATGCCTAGAGAATATCCAGATATACGATGGGTACAAAAAATAGGCGGATCATGAGCGTGGCCATTGGGGGATTTGAAAAAGGTACTGTGTTAAGTTGGACGCATTCGCTCTTCATGTTCTGTAAAAATATTTTACTCATGTTTATAATAATAGTCTTACGATATGAGATCAGCCTTTACATTGTATGATCTAAGCCAAATGTTGCAAACTAACAACGTTGGCTGATTTATAGGTCTAGTTCTATTTTAGACGTTCCGCAAGTAAACTAGAACAACCTACTGGAACGGAAGCAGCTGTCTTCCGAATGTGGTCAATTGGACAATGCCTTTCTATAAACACCGACTTTCAACTTATGCTCAACCAATGGCTTCCTGCCGTTTTAAGACCATCGTAACCAAGAACACCGTCACAATTTAGCGCTGTTCCACATCCCCATTAGCAGATCTACGCACAGATGTATAGAAGCATTTGTATTCTTCGTCAGTTTAAATTAGATGTTCATGCTTTAAGATAAAATGCGAAACCTCTCAACTAAGATGCTGTTCTTTGGATTTGTCTCTTCCTGCCGTCTTTCTTTTACCTTAATCTTCCGTTACCTCATGTCGACCTGATCGTGTTTAGCCCTTGCGGCCACAGCCGCTAGTCTGGCCGATGCCCAGTCCTGTCGTAGTGCGGCGGCCCAACAGTGTCGCGACAGGATCTTTCAGATGATCCAGCAACATAGCCAGGACTTTACAGGAGGCGACGTGAGTGTGCTTTGCTCGTAAGTAGCGATTTTCTTTTTCTTTTTCTTTTGCTGCAAATTACAGTAGAAATTTAACTTCACGAATAGTAAATGAGTATTGTATGCATATGATGGTTTGAATGTAGAAAGGTTTAGGACTAGGCATGAATGAGACTCGGCAAAAGCTTGGCCTATATAATTTAGAAGGTTGTTAAGTGTATCAATGACAATCAGAAGTAAGCACATAGTTCGAAACCGGAAAACATCGACTTGGTTTTCATTTCAGGAAAGCATTTTATATCGACTCCATATTTACGGAAAAATACACATAATTTTTTAAGAATATACGTTTTCTTTTGCTAGCTTGAGTGAATATTGGACTTTTAATTCATAGAGATGTGTTTGATGTTGAAAGCTGCCAACTCTTCGTTCATTTAATCACGCGAGCTCAGCCTATACGTGCTAACATCAGAGAGGATAATATACGTATTAGATACAGGAGTTAAATGTACACAGCAGGCCGTATCGTTTCCTATATGTACAGCGACGGGATGTTTATTTTCACTATGCGAACTTCTTCAGGTGTATTTGAGAGCGTGGAACTGAGAATTTTCAATAGGATGAACCTTGAATTATTGTCAACATTACTTAATGTACTATTTTTTCCGATTGTGCTCGAGGGCATTGATTCCAACTAAATTTTGCAATTCATGCTAGTTTTATGGATGTCCACACACTCCGGAGGGTAATTTTCCACAAATGGTGGCAACGGCAGAAGCACATTAGTAATAATGTAGTACAACTATAGCTGCTACTTTTACCAGAATTATGTCCTATTCACTTTCCTTTTGGTTTTCCCCTATAGGAAGGGAGGAGAACAGAGAGAGAATACAGCTTCCCAATCTGGTGGCCGGAGCAGGTGTACGAAGGCACCAGACTCTCTACTTGTCAATTTGGCTAAGCAGCTTTTTCCGTTGTCCGCTACCATTGCTACTGCCTACGGTTTCTGTTCCAGCTTTATGGCCATAACCCCAGAGCACACAGTAGCAACATTTTTCCATAACTGTCCATCTCCCACATTTGGTCATCTGTCTGGTCCTTTCCATTCGCCGTCAGCAGTCTTCGAGTTGTAGTAGCAGCGACCTCCGGCTCACTTGAGCTGTGCAACATTCCCATTCCCAACTTCCCTCCATTTCTTTCCCGTCCCCCTCCCGCACCCCTATCCTTGCGCGGCGTTCGCGTTCGTTCCGGACGTACTTCGTCTTTAGTCGTTATCGTCGTCCGTAATCCTAAGTATATTCGCTTATAAGCCTGAATAATGGGCCTACCATCAGTAAAGGGCGAACACCTCGCACACAGTCATACATCGGCTGCTGTTGCCGCTGCCATTACTATTGAGCATGTTATTCTACACACTTGTACGGGCAAGATCCAATTTTTTCGCTAGAGATGAATTCGTCGAACCGTCTATGGACATCCTCTAAACCATAGATATATGTAATGTGAATAGCAGATATACTTGTTGCTTGCCTTCTTGAGGAGCTGATCGCTGCAAAGGTAATCGGAAATTAAATTTTATGCAAACATGTTATCACTGCGTACCCGTGCGAACCATAAACCTTACAATAATCTTCTACTGGATACAAAATACTATGAGGAAAAAGACCTCCATCTATAGCATACATCTATGTACACGACTTCGATGCTTGTTCAGCGCCTTATTGTTGTTCCATACAATGGTCCGTTAAAAGACTACAATTGCAATACAAACTTTCGTGACTCGTAAATCCATGGTAATAAAGACGGTAGGCATTTAGTACTAATTGCCGTCGGTATTTTAAATTAATGATAAGATCAGCCTCGTCAGAGGATTTATGTCATGACACCGTATTTTGTTCCTATGTACTATCAAAGTACAATAAAGGCAACACGACGTCCTCAATCATTTGGAAGCTGAGGCACAGAGCGAGGAGGGTTACGAAATAACAAATAAAGGAACGTTCAAGAATCGAATAACTAAGAAAATAGTGAGCAGTATTTGGTCTACTCAGACTTTAGCTTTTGCCGCTCTGCCATAGACGTACTATTCGAGCAGCAGAAAAGTCGAATCGTTTTGGCCTCTATACCGCTACGGCGCATCCAGTGTTCATGCTCGCTCCCCCTTCGCCCTCTGCAGCAAGAGGACGCCTTTTTAAATATCTCGAATGTATGTAAGATTTTCTTCGCACAAACAGATCAGGAGAAGCTAGACGGGAATCGTTCTGGATTTATTTTTTCTTTCATATCTAGCTGGTCTTCGCCCCTTTGTTCCCATCCCCTTCTATATCACCGAAAGTGGCGCAGGGGGCACGGACGACGTGTCGTTCGTTTTAGCGCCCGACGTCACCTTCGGCATACAACTGGTCAACATACCCAAGTACCTTCGTGTATAAATAGCTGGGGCACATTCCTCAGCACACCAAAGAGCCTTTCCAAAGGTTAGATAGTGAATCGGCTGTACCAGAGACGTTTCTCTGTTCCTTGCTCCCACTATATATCTAACCTACCTATACTGATCCGGGGTATTGCGTTCTCGGCTTTGATTCTATCAACTAACCCTCAGTCGGCTTTTTCGTCGGTGTACAGCCTTTTATACGTAGCTGTTCGCTCTCCACCGTTCTCACTAGCTCTACGCTATCATCTACACTGACTTTTGCTAGCTCCGCATTTCCCATACCCATCTGTGCTGTTCAGCGGGCCGCCACAGACCTACAATACAACTACTTTGTGCCGCCTACATCTACCGTGCCGCCGTCGACAATACTTCTTCAATACCCTTTTTCCTTTACCGTTGAGCCGTCCATCGTTCGAGTCCCGTAGCTCTTATAGTTCTGGTCGTTTTGCCGATACTACGGTTCCTGTCGATTCACTATGGCATGATAGCGGTGTCGGCAGATGCTTTCTCTGTTCGCTGTTGCTGCAGTAGTGGCCGCACGAGGACAAGCCGGAACACCTGAAGTCAGTGCTCACTCAACTCGGTAGATCACAACTTCTCAGAGCGCCTTTGCATGTTTCACAAGAGTGAATAGTTGTGCCTTTTCCGTCAATGCAGCTTTTGTCGGCCTTGGCCAAGGTCAACAGCAGCCACCAATGACGCTGACGCCCGCTGCTACTATTGTTGCTACGGCCTTTACCGTAATAATAGCAGAGCTGTCTCTTACTTGCTGCCTTTCTTAGTTCCTCGTTGTTTATAATTCCTGTGTTTTCTGCTTCCTGTTGTTCGCAGTTTTCATTCTGCTGGCCTACATTACAACAATTATCGCCACCCACTTTTCAGTTACCCTATATTGTATCATATGTACGAAGGCTGCTGGCTAGTGAGGTCGCGGCAATGCTGAGGGACCTTCCTGGGCGCCAAGTTTACGCTGGCTAGCCGTTGATATATTCATTGAACGCTACTGTACGAACGAGTGCCGGCGAGCTACAGCGATAACGGGTTGGTAACAGTTGCAGCGGCACGTTCACTACTTTCCAAGGCCGTGCATGGGAAGTGTACACGTCTACGCCGACGAGGCCGTCAAAATTTAATATAGGAAGGATTCTTGGTTTGATTAGCCAGAGGCAACTGGAGACTGGTGGGAAAAAGGGCAAAGTGAATATTGCTCGAGGAGCGATATCTAACCGAAAAGTAGGGACACAGCAGGTGGAGACGACAAGGAGTGCGAGTGTTAAGAGGCCACTGGAAATTGTAAGGTCGGTGGAGATAATTCGAAGAGAACCGTGGAGAGGAACATGGTTATTTTGGAAGGCATATCTTGTGTGGACCTGCCAACAGAGCACGACGAAGTCTGAAATGTGGGTCAAGTACTGACCGGTAAGGAGTGCAGTTGCGGGCCATAGCAACTAGAAGTTGCCGGGGCGACAATCACTGCAGCAATGCCGTTGGTCACGACCTCGATGACTACAATGATCGTGAAAGACTTTTCCGAAGGGCCACATTGTCGGACAAGTCGATCACGTTGCCACGGGAACCTAACAAATACTAAAAAAAATCTACCTTGTCTTATTGTTGCGATTACGTCGACTGACCGTGGGCCTGCCAGGAAGTCGTGCACATCGAAAAATTTCAAATGGACTGATAAATAAGCTACCTCTTGTCATGCAATCGAGCTGCGGGCTCTACTAAGTATTCAGCTAGGAACGTCAAGCACTAGTAGATTCCTAACCTTTATAGCTCGACCGTGAGTCAAACGAAGGTTGTGAATCGAATCCCCTATTAAAGATGGAAATGTTTTTTAGCCTGAAGAATCGGGTCTGACAGATTAATTGAGACATTTAGGTAGAGAATGTATTAATTAGAATATGAAGACATATCTTTACAGCATTTTTCACGTTTCTATCATACAGTCAGTTGCCTAATAAAATTGTTGTTATCTACTAAAATCCACACAATCGAGAAACACCAACACAATTCGATTGATGCCAGATCGAGTTATACTGACTGAAAAAAAAAAAATTCAGATACTATGTTCTAGTACATGATGGCCGGATATTTCTTTGTTATAATACTGTATTTCGTTGGTGCAATGAAAAAATATAGCGAACGACAGTCTCGATTCGTTCACAGCTTTGAAAACTTGTGCTAAACTTAAATTATAGAAAATAAATTAAATCTATCACGCGTTCAAAACAGTCGATTATTAGCTGATATCATCTACGTTAACACTGAGAAAAACCTGAATTTGAAAAATGGCAACACGCTGGACTATGCATCGTGCGGTGTTCCATATGACGTTAGATGAAGAGAACAATCTAATTGATGATTGCCCGGTCCTATTCTACCGGGGCGTGCCCTTAACCGCTTAGATGATGCGGAGGCATGTGTGCTAGATGCAGCAGAAGCAAGCTGTGGTATCATTCATCATACATTGTTGTTCTGGTCTGGACGCCGCCCCACGCCATTTCTGACAGGGTTATCCGATATGCAAAGTTCGATTTTGTGTACCTTCCTGTTCGGCCTACGCCGTCTAATCGCGCTTTTGTTCTAGCGTCATTAACAT